TGCATTACTTGACACTCATGGAAAAGCAAACCCACCAAACCACAGGGGAGGAGGAGGATCTGCCTGACCTGTCAAACATGCAGGTCTTGCTGCCACAAAGTGACGGTCACGTACCAGAATGCTGGCAACTGTGGGACATTATACCAATGCCATACCATTGGGTGGGGGGAGGGGGGGTTCGGGTTGGGACTGTCCAGCACTGCACCATACATAGGGGGATATTGGAAAAGAACATGGAAATTATAGTTTAGGTGATATTTAGGGTTTAGGGTTTAGGATTTTTCGAGCTGGGGTGCTTCCTTCATGATTTTCTCTTTGCACTCCACAACCCCGCTTTATCCCCAAAAGTCTTAAGCCCCATGAACCCTATAAACCTCAACAGTAATGTTCCGAGAGCGCAGTACAGGAGAATGTCATTGGATCCCTGCGCCAAAGTTTGGCACCTTTTGTCTCCCTGTCTTAAACATCAAGGACAAAGACTTGGAAGCTTCAACAAGTCTCTACCAGAATGTTGAACCTTCTGCGGAATTCAGCTCCTTGGAACCTTACACATTTCATGCGACCGACCCTCTACTTGCGCCCAGCTCGGAATTTCCACCTCTCCCAACCCAGGCTACACAGCCAAAACCCAACTGAACTCAAGAGAGGAGATGCCAGCTGGTCGGAAAGACCTGTGAATCCACCACGAGCCTTAGACCTCAACCCCCTAAACGTTGAGCTGTCCACCAGGCACTCTTTCAACATAACCCTCAAACTGGGCCCCTTGTAATGTCTCTGACATAAATCTATCTATATCGCCGGGGACCCTACAGCCGCTGTTAACCCTTCCCTATTTGAGGACCGGTCTCGGCTTGCCCGCAGCCCGGCGAGTGACCAGCCATGGAGCAGAGTAAGGAGCTCGGATTTCAATTCAGAGATCCTTTAAATGAGAGTGAACTGGGAAAGAAAATGGAAGCTGGGTTTAGGGATTCTTTTCGGGTTTGAGGGTTTAAGGCTTCAGGGTTTCGTGGTTTTGGCGTTCGCAGTTTAGGGTCTACTAACTCAGGATTTATTGGGTCCGCATCGGGATGTATACGTACACACACACACATAGATACCTATATATGTTTTCAGGTATGGCATCCCAGGCATAACTGCAAGAAGGCTGCTTTTCGTTCGAAGGTGAGAGGGAATAAATCAAGGGACCTCTTTTTTCAGCTCTTTTATGGCTTTTCCTCAGTTTCGTAGTTCTTGTAGAGCAGAATGTGCACAGGATAGGCACATGATTAGTGTTTGAGATTCATAGCCGCAGAGGGCTCTATAGCTTAGAGGCTAGAAGGCTTAAGTAAGGGGTCAAAAGGTTCACGCGACACGGATGTTGCGCGGAAGTTTAGAAAGACTTAGAGGACTATAGTAGTTTCTATTTTCTTTTACATTATCACTATATAACCCCAATATAACTCCAATATAACCCCAATATAACCGCAATATACTGTAGTAGTTGAGCGCCGTGGGGCCTTGAAGGCATTAGGTTCCTCAGGGGAGCGGACGTTCGCTGTTGAGGTTTGAGATCTACAATGCACCGATCGTGTGTGTTCATCTGCCAGTTCCTGCCTTGGATGGTAACTGCTATAGACGTTTATGCTTTTGTTCGAGGGGGTGCTGATGATAGCGATTGTTGCTACCTTTGACCATTGCAATTTGTTTCGCAATTTTGTGTAAGGCGGAATTTCAGCAGAGTAGCTGTGGCCATGTATTAGAGAAGCAGCACTGTAAGGACTGGAGCGTAGATACACAGGATTCCCACTGTCGAGGAATCTTTTTCAGGTTTGTCCGTCCGGCTTGTCGCAGGTGTGGTCCCTTTTCACAGCGATCTTTGTTTCATGGAGTTTGTCAAGATGTGCCTAAAACCAAACATCGTGAAGGGAGACCTGTGGACACTGCATACAACTCCAATGGGTCCTCCAGACCTTAAATTCCAAGCGAAACCAAGCAAGGCGCGACAGTATCTGGGAGACCCTCTCAGCCTCGCACAAGATGCGGTGCAAGGACTCGGCAGGCCCACATTTTTGCAACTCTCAGGGATTCTAGGAATAGATATATGGGGGGGTGGGAAAATGACGAGAATAGGTGTCTCCATGCAAAGATTACATGGGGATCTTTGGGGGATCCTTGGGACATAAGATTTTGTGGGCCTGAGGTCGCCAAAGTTCCGATTGCACCCATTACTTACTAACTGGGTAGGTAGGCTTTAGATTTTCTGGCTTGTTAAAATGCTGTTGCGCAAGTGTTCAAAGATTGCTTCTATCACACTCTTGAGCAAGATCCACAAAATATGTTTCCCCATGTATCCAAAGGGTCCCCCAAGGCCCAGCAATCTTGGGAACTCATCATGAGAAATCTTTTGGCAGCTCTTTGGGCTTGGTAGCAAATCCCGCAGCCAGAGCAGGGCACCCTACATGCCAGCAAGGCCCCTGAGGCTTGCATGAGCTCAAGCCAATGTAGTAGTACCCTAAACGGTTTTCATTTTGTTTCCATTTGCTTCTGCACCACCCTATATACCTCTATATACCCCTTCAAAAGGGACCTGGGCTTTCCACTTCTTTCCATTTTCTCTGCCATGCGCCTCTCCGCGATGGAGCTGATGCACATCAGCACTCCTCACCTGAAACTCGGAAATCCTCGAATGAATACACAAATTGAGAACAGAAAACAGTTATAACACAAACAGTAATGACTAGAATCATAAGAATAACACAGTAATGGCCCAACCAGGGAGATGCCTTTCACCAACACCTCTTAGATTCAGTATTGCTACTGGTATTTATCATGGTTATAACTGTAAACCCCTAAACCCCATAAACCCTAAGCCCTAAACCCTGAACCCCAACCCGTTACTGCTTTAATTTCCCACGTCTTGTTGATTTGACACAGTCTCCGAGAAGAGAAACATGCAGTTGTTGACAGGAATTCGGCTTCTGAGGTGGGGGTGCCTGCTGCGGGGTATGGGTATTGGCTTCGAACGGTTCAGCGTGTGGAATTCTGGTTGACTGGTTTAGCGAAGAACGATTTTTTTTGAGGCATGACATTGTTATTCCAGCTGTCATTTTAGGCAAAATACATACTGCCTGTCGCAACGCACATACGGTTCATGCAGCAGGTTGCGTTGCAGTCCAGGTCTTCTTGACGTGTACCAATCTCATCATTATGGGTCCCTTTTACCCGGATATTCTCAAGTATAGTCGCACTGCAAGGGAGGCTCATTGGTGTACTACGGCACCCGGCGCTTGAGGGCCCAAAACTGCAGTTGTTGCTTGTGCGCCTTGGCCTGATATCATTGCAAAGATGTCGTGTCTTGCTGCAATTGTCAGAAGGCACAAAGGATCATACTTTATTGCTTTGAGCTATGGTAGTACAACGCCGGAGACGGGCATAGTCTGAAATCATTTTGCCAAGTTAGTCATTATCCTGAGAAGCGCCACCGTTTTGAACTTTGCATCAACAGCACCACGGCTGCCGCGTCCAGGCTCTTGCAGCCTAGCCCAGTCAGTCTGCAAAGACCATCACGACCCGACCTCTGAGCTTGCCCCCCTGTGCAAAACTTATCAGAAAGATCAGAGGCAGTCACTCGCCTGGGCCTGCAAGGCCTTCAATGCAGAAGCCTAAAGAATTAAAGAATTGCCAACAGTATGATCCTACATGTCTTGTAGAATTACGCATAGTACTGGGTATTTGAAATAGTCCTGAACATGATATGGATAAATATTGATAAATATTTAGGCACCTGTATATCGTCAGCAGTCAGAGTTCAGCCCTTGGGAGTGCCATGTTGTCATTGCAGTGATCAGAGTTGCTCATAGTAAGCGTGTTGGTTCTCACTTCAAGGTCTTGGGTCGACCTTTCTATGTAAAGCAAGCGCTGCGCTACAAAGCATGGTGGCCGCTTTGCTGGTGCTCTGCTTCTTGAGCGCCGGTGCAGCAGGGGGCCCAACAGAGTTCTGTTCAGGGCTAAGAGTTTTGGCCCAGATGGATTTTGGAGTCCAATGTTCCCTGTATGGAAAAATCTGACTGCCTACTTGAGGGCCTGGGTAGAGGGACGCCGTGATCGCGTTATCAGTCTCATGTGGAAAAGACAAGATTGTTTAGCTTATCGTGAAGGGTCAGCATGGTGGAATTTGGGTCCCTTGCGCTTCCAGTCCTTATTTGCGAAGGTTGTTATCTAAAAGCACTCTGCGTGGTCGGGCTGTCCACGCAGGAGTAGGCAGAACACATTCTTTTAGACGCCCAAGCAATTATGGTGACACCTCAAACGGACCCCTGTTTTTGGAGTTTTTGGAACCTTGGTAATGTGGGACCCTCTTTAATACGTAGGGCCCCCCCCCGCCCTTAACATTAGGGCCGTCCGAAAAATAGAAATAAGGGATCCTCAATACGGCCCCCTGAGCTCCCACGGTTCTGAGGTCTTTGTGGATTGATTTAAAAGGGATTGTTGACAATACTTCCTCTACTTTTGGGGCACCAAAATAAAAGCACATTACAGGGGGCCTTGCAATCATTGCCCTCATCCTGAATAGGCGGGCCCAAAAGGGGACCGGCTCAATAAAGGAGGTCCAACATTAGTGAAAGAAAGAAAGAATGAATGAATGGAATGGAATGGAATGGAATGGAATGGAATGGAATGAATGAATGAATGAATGAATAAATGAATGAATCAATGAATGAATGAATGCATGCATGCATGCATGCATGCATGAATGAATCAATGAATGCGTGAATGAATGAACAGGCCTTGGATAGAAAGTCGAGTCACTGAAGGGACTTCATACCTAGAGATGGCAAGACCCTATGTAGGGTTTAGCGTTTAGGGCGTAGGATCTGGGGTTTAGGTTTGAGGGCCCCAGTTATCAAGTCATACGTCAAATCCAATCTTGGAAAATCGGATGGAGACAAACATGGAGTATGAGATGGAGCATGAAATGGAAAGTGTGGCTACATAGTAGGGAAAAGCCCAAAATATGACCAGATGTGACCAGATGGCATCCTATAGTTACAAATAAATTTCATTAGTATATTTTACGCTAGTGTTTCGTAATATGCTCATTGGGTATGAATTTCGAAGCCGGTCTGTTTTCAGCTGGCCCAACTCCCTCCTGGGCAACAGGGCCCAACGTTTTAGAACGCTAGGCACAGCATAAACTGCAAAAGCTGAGGCCCAAAACCCTAAAGGATCATCCCTGCCTGCCTCCCCCTAGGTTCGACATGAACTTCAGCAGGAAAGCCTTGAGCCGGATACAGAGGCAAGACAGTTCAGGGGTTTCGGGCTGAATAAACTCAGTGAAGGATTCACTGTAAGGAGGCTTCCAGATGTGAGAGCTTTCAACGAGGGTTGAGGAAGATCTTAGGCGTGAGGAGCTACGTCTTTTGCGGCTGTTTGTGAGTATGAGCCCTGACTGATGCCTTAGACGGTCATAATCTGCATTGCTGCAGCCGCATCTGGTTTTGACCCCGCATGTTTTGCTGGGTCGCCATCCTTTTAAGTAGCCGTCGCCCTGAGCATTGAATGGTGGAATTGGATCCCTATAGCAATCCTGATATAATAGCCCAACAATCCCAACTTTCCGTGCCTACATTCCCTGCTAACCGAAGGTAACAAAGGACCCTGTCAACCGACAGTTCGTTCCATTTGATTTTGCATAAGCTTCTATACCCGTCTATACTCTTCTACGACCCTATATAGCCCTCTATATCCCTACATCACAGCCTGGCTGCTGCTGAGCAATGAACAGCAGACTGGCTTCAGCAATCGAATTCTTCGTGGCGGTTCAGGGTGTAGGGTTTAGAGAATGCGTTAGGGTGGTCCCTGGGCCCACTGGCAGCGGTAAAGTAGGGATATATGGGTCCCTAACATAACTACCATTGTTACTATCCCTTCTGGTCAATTTGGGGGCTCACCCACAGCATCGCGCGAGTGACTTGTAGGCACCTGAAGCCGGTACACCTGCAACAGTGAAGGCTCAGCATTACAGGCATCTTGCTGTGTAAAGCTTCCTGGCCAAGCCCCAGACCCTGACTTTCTTTCTGGGCATCAGCCTTACTTGTGACTCCCATTGCCTACAGCTTAGTAGTAAAGACCCCTAATGGGTAGGTATAGCCCATAAAACTGTAGGTAATTGGGGTTGCAGGTAAGCCCCCAGACCCTAAACCTCTGAACCCTGAGCCTTGACAAAACAGGGGGAAAATCGAAACCCTGAAGCCCCCAGTTTCATGCAGGGAGCCGTGGGGCACACAAAATGCGACGCGGCTGCAAGACAGGTACAAGTCTGGCTTGGATCATGCAAAGTTCGGGTGTGGATGATGAGCATCATGCTGACTTGCGTTTGCAGTCCTGCCTGTTTGCCACCGCTGACGCCAAGGTTAGTCCCAACATGTCTAGTATAGCAGGAGTGATAGAGGGACCACACCTAACCTCAGCAAGATGGAGGCACTAATCGTTTTGAGTTGTCTTCTCTTATGGGCCGCAAAGCCGTGACTGAATGACTTACCTGAGCATAGACTTGATCGACAGAATGTGCTAGGAAGTCCACGATTTGGACATACCCGTATAAGTTTAAGCTAGAACCGCGCCTCTGCCCGAGGTCATGACGAACTGTTGCTCCGCACAGCTTTCGAGAAGTTGGGCCTTGAGACGAAGCTATGTCAGGTTAAAAAGACATTTTATTGGGTAATTACGGTCATAGACCTGCAGTAGCTGCCGGTAGCTATGATGGGCAGGCCGCGGCTGCACATTCTTGCATTTTGTTAAAATGTATTGCAACAAGCACCGATCACAGAAACTTTCAATGCTCCTGCGCATTTGCAAAACCTCAAGCCTAAGGCCACAAATCGGAAGGGGTGTTTCTCAATATGGCCCCTATAAAAATGGTAACAGGGACCCATCCAATCTCGTTATCATCCGTTCATATCTCTAGGGTGCCCAAGGGTGCTGGTTTTTTGAGACGTCCAGCCCAGGACCGGTCTCTCAGAGAGCCATTGTGAATGGGGAGGCGTGAGCTGCCACAGGGACGGGTGCACGTCTCTTGACCTGCCATTTGAGGGCTTTCAAGGAGAGCTGCCACCTGAGATTGGAAAGCTTCTTCATTTGCAGAGTTTGGACTTGTCTCACAACAAAAAACTCACGGGAAACCTGGCCACCCTGGCAAAGCTGACAGCTCTGACCTTGCTCGATCTAAGCCACACAGGCATGGGAGGGGACCTGCATGACCTGAGGGCAATGGTGCAAATGGAGAGTCTCGATCTTAGCCGCACAAACATTGTCGGCAACCTCAAGGCGCTCAGCAAGATGACAAGAATGCGAAAGCTCTGGCTTTCCAATACTGCCATCACAGGTGAGATGACGCCGCTGAGTTCGATGGCGCAAGTGCAAACTCTCTCTTTGGGTAACACCCGTGTTGCGGGAAGCCTCGA